TGCAGAGCATAGCCAGTGAGTCAGAAGGACTCCTAAGCAAAGCCTAAGGGTATAATGAATGGAGTAGAAATGGTTCAGTAAACTCATGGCAGCCTTGCCGACTTTGCATGCTTCTGTCCCTCCTTTTCCTCCAAACAATTCAGTTCAATGCACAGCAGGATTAGTTTCTGAAAGATTTCAGATGTCCACGTAGGTTAAAAAAATAAATAACAGAAAGTTTTCTCTTTTTACTTGCAAACTGAAATAAGTCTGAGGGTTTTAGGAGTTTCCATGTGTGTAAACTGTATTCTTCAAGCTACTTGGATTTATAAAATGTGTTATTTTGTCCACTTAATTTAATGCTTGACAGACATTCTGAGAAAACTTCCTCTACTGCCTTGTTTTCTCCAGGGAATGATATTTCAGCAAAACTTCATAAGAAAAACAAACAACAACAACAACAAAACAGTCCATCTGCAGTAGTAATTATTCATTTGCTTCCCCAGTTTGCTAGTTTATTTAAATGTTTGGAAATATACAAAGCGGTAAACTCTTCTGATACTGTAGTGAGTTTCTTCATTACAGAATCACTGTCTCTTCCTTTCTGGAAATAAAAAACTCCTGAATATTTTCAGGTGTTTGCTCATTCAACTGTTTTCTGCTCCTTTCCTCAGAAAGCAAACATTCCTGTTTCTAATTGCATAATATCTGCATCTTAAACAACTTGCATCCCTTCATCTCAAAAGACTCTAAAAGGGGGATAAGAATCATTGAGAGACAAGTGAACGCACAGTTTTTCAGGAAATTCTCTTCTGTTATCTTAGTGAGGTGACATATATTGATTTCAGGCTTGAAATTTTCTGAAAGGTAAAACCTGTGTATTTGTAGCAGTTCTTCTACGACACCTATTGGTTAAATTGGCACTTGCATTATAACGCTAGCCTCTGATGATAATCCTACCTGGAATCCTTCCAATTCTATTAAACTATTCCAGATTCTCAAATTTAATTATTCTCCACTGAACATAATCTGACCAAAGACCAAAATTAAAATAGGTGATAAAATTTCTGAAAGTCATATTATCAAAACTGGACTCTTAAATAGACTGCAGTAACAATAGATGTTATGCATGGATTTGAAACCTATTTCAACAAGTTGAAGAGCTACCAGTCTTTATATTTTATTTAACTTGATAGGAACAACAAAGTGGTAGGTGCTCAATGGACAGTAAAGTCAGTGATCTGTAGGCATGTAAGGTTCCATATATGCCTTTGGAAAAATCTTCCACCAAGGTGATATACCCAGGATAACGTAAAGAATTTATATGTGTATTGGGGAGTTCAAAAGCATATGATTTTTTAATTTTATTATTTTCTTCAATACTAACGTATAGGGTTGCAATAGTGATGACTAAGGGTAGTTTTTCACTTTCACCTTAGATAAAGACAAAATCTTACATTTGCATTCTGTATTATAAAATCATTTTTCTTATGTTTATGATACTTTCATTGTTCAGGGAGAAAGGATGAAACATGGGTACTGCTCTAATGTTATATGAGAAAATTGTTTTATGTCAGTCAATATTAACAATGTGAGCTCTTTAAATTATCATTATAAATGAATTCTTAAGATAGGAACAAAACAACAGAAGTACTATGGCAATGCTTTTCAATTTGTCAGGATCTTGTAATGATGCAAACTGTTCCAAAAAACAACTCAGGTATTTGGGGGATGATGATTATTATTGCTTAATAATAATTATTATTAATATTTTTGTTTACTATAGATTTGATAGGCTTTCTATATATTTACTGTAGATTATGTAGACCTTAATTTCAAGCTCCTCTACTGCTTAGAAGCAGAGGAACTGCAGGGTTTCTTTTGTTGACACCTTTTCTGAGATGTATTAGAGATGCTCAATGGACTTTGCTTTGTCTTAGGGTAAAGTGTAGAGTTATATGGAAATAAAGGAGTAATTTCAACTGGTGTCTTTTATGCCATGGCCCTGAGTGGTCCTGCCCTTTTGGGTATTTAGTTCACTGAATATAAGACCAGCGTACTGACACGAGTTGTCTAGAAGAGCCAGAAAGAGTGTCTGCTGAGGTTCTGCTTCATAGGATCCCCCAACTCCTTTGCTTGGGAGCAGCTTTTAAGATGAAGTTCTAGTTCTTGAAAATGACTTTGCTACACATAGTTATTTCTGTAAAAGCAGTACTTCTCCCCTGGCTTTTTTGAAAGGATAAAATAGCTGCCATTAAAAAGGGGATTGGACAGGAATATTGATTAAATGCTGTCTCACTTCTTTTTTTTATTCATTAAAAAAAAAAAAAGCTTACTGATCCTACTTATTGAGCCCTGTTTCACTAGTTAAAGAAAATTTGTATTTTAAATGTTGAAAATGCAAAGTCTGCTTTATACCTTTACATTTCATCAGTATCAGATACAGCTGGCAACCTGTCCTGTAACAGTGCTACAAAAGGAATATATGTTTCTTCCTCTCTTTTTTTGCTTAACTGCTCAGTATTTAAATAATTAGTTTCTGCATTCAGTCAACCAGATTATAGCTCTCTAGGTGGTTTCTTTATGAGCAAGTGGCTTCCAGTCTTAGCTCATTTTCTGTTCAGGTTGTCTCCACTGTTCAGCTGAAATCTGCAGCATCAACTTTTACTTAGGGGTAAAAAAAACATTTATTCTAAGCAATAAAGCTCAGGGTTTGCTCTCAGTCCCATATAGTTTTTACAGCCAATAAACAACATGGCACAGAGCAGATTTGTTCCTTACAGACTGCATTCTTTACTACATTTTATTTTCAGTTCAGTGAATCTCAGTGAGAGAAACATTTCATTTAGAAGACAATGTTCAATTGAATGAAAAGTAAATCACAGTTTTGGTGCTAGATGAGAAACTGGATTTTCCACAGCAATAATTCACTGATGTCAGCCTGTGACTGCATGCACTGTTTGGAAAGAAGCTGAATAGTCAGACATTCTTCCGTAAGACTGGAGATCTGCCTTGGCTGATGTCCCACTGCTCCTCCCTTTTCCATGAAATCTCTTTAGATTCTGTTACAGCTTGATTTTAATTTATCTTAACTGTAAAGAACTGTATTTTTGGGGTCTGATTGCTGCTGATGTCATTGTTCTGTTGCACAGAAGGACATGATTTGGTCTAAAACCTCATTTGTTTGTGGTTTTATTTACAGGCTATGAACTTTGAAGGGGGAGGAATCTCTTCTCTGACACAAACTGTAGTAAAAAAATGTATATGTATGTGAATATGCTGGTTGAGACCTAACAAGAAAGCATATATTCTCTGCATTTCGCCCTCTTGCCTGGAGACCCTGGGGTCAGGAAGACCTAAAGAGGTCCTAAAGGTGCTTCTGTGGATGTATGTTAGAGGAAAAGAGAAGTGTTCAGACATAATAAGCATGTTTGTGTGATTAAATCATATATTTTTTTGTTAAAATATGTATTTTAATTATGTTTTTGTGATACAATGTTTTTGTGACCTAAGAAAATGTGTGCTTCGTGCTACCCAGGCTCTTCCAAAAGCTGAAGTAACATAAAAAATTGGGAAAAACAGCTATGAAAGTTACCTAGAGCAGGTAGGATGCTGTACATTTGTTTGATACAACTAAAAGATTGGTTGTACACTGACCTGTGGAGGATATCCAAATCCATGTCAGTCAGTGAAAAACATAATCTTAAATTCTGAGGAAGAGACTGAATGCAGCTGGCCTTGTTGTGGATACTGTTAAGCATAGTGAGGGTATCCAGGTCTTTATAGGTGGCTTTTTTTTTTTTCCTTTTTTCTTTTTAAATTTTGTTTTATGCACATTTTTTTTCCAGCATGTGAAATACAGGCCTCTGTTTTTGCTAGACACAGAGGCCATCTTGTGGCAGGATGGTAGTAGTTGAATTAAAATACTCCTAATTTATATGGAAAAAATAAGTCAAATTTCTTGAAATATTTCCAGTATTATTTGTAGTACCCTTACATATTGAAGTATGATTACAATATATATATATGTACTGACAGCATCTGCTGGGCCTGCAGCAGAATATTAATTCCTAAAGAGAAAGTACTGATGACAAAATATCTGAAGACAAAATATCTTAGGAAGAAAACTGCAGTAACATTTTTTAGTATCAGGAAGTCAGGCTAAAAAAAGTCTTTCTTTAAGGAAAAAAAGTGAAAAAGGGAATGATGGTTATGTCACTGTGAAGGGGTCAAGCTCCTCATATTTCTGTCTTATAACTAAAATATAATTCTGCAGGACAAGACATTACTGAATAGAATAATGAAACTAATGAATACTATTTTTCTTTATCTTTTCTTTTGTAATGTGATTTTCACATTTATAGTAGTGATTTGGAAATGATGCAAATGTATGACACCCTGAAAATAAAATATTCAGGCTAACAATGTGTATCACAATTAAGTTTTGTCAGCAAGACGTACAGAGGTTCTAAATAGTTTAAATATTAATAAATCTTAGATTAATAATGTTTAGATTTAGATTAACATTTAAAGTTTGTATTATATTATTAATTAAAGTGACTGGGAGGTAGGGGTTGGAGGAGTAGGGGAATTGCAGATTTGAATCTATAATAATAATAATAACTGAAAAATAAGTATGCACTAGTGGACTTTAAGAAAGAACTGCATCTACTGCACGTTGGTAGCGCATTATGGAAACTGCACAGATGTGACAGCCTGTGCAATCAGAAATTGATATTTGCATATGCAAATACCAAGCTGATTCACTGGACTTGTCAGCTACTTTGAGACTTGTAGCAGAAATGTCACAGTTCATCTTCTAGAGACATCTGTGGTGTGTTGTATGAGGTGGATTGTAGTATAGTGGCATCTAACAGAAGACCATTGCTTAGGATATTTGTTTTATTATCTACACCTCCAATACAAGAGCTTAATATAATGAATAAAATTACAAGGCAAAAAAAAAATAATACATTTATAAGAAGGAATACTTCTTCCAAATTTGATTGTAGCCTGAAAAACAAAGACAAAAACAAAACCTGAAACATTACCATGATAGATAATAGTGAGGCAGAAAATCTGTTAAGTTCTGGAAACAGATTAGATATTGAAATGTGGAAATGCTGAAATTTTGATGACATTCACAAGGATAATAAACATTCACAGAGAACATAAAAGTCAGGAATAGTTGCTAACAGGCTTACATTAAGAAGAAATTTCTTCTATTATTGTAATGATCCATTAGGCTTTCCGCTGGAGAATCTGATAACTATTATTACTGGACATACAGTTGTCCATATATCATGGAATGATGCATAAGACTTTTGATAAAGTATAATGAATAATTCCTAGTTTTTAAGAGCATTTACAAATACAATCCTGTCAACTGAGTATGGTATGTTTAATTAGAGCCCTTATATATGTGTGCACACCAGTCCATAATTCCTCATACCTATATTTTCAGTACATCACTTTTTCACAGGGTAAATGTTCACTTTTAGCAAGCAAGGGCATTGTTATCATTCTTTGTTTTAGTAAAGAGTTTACAAAGTGACAAATAAAAAAGTGGTCTGTCGCTTCATCAGACGATATATATCCTGGAAATATTCATTCTTCTCAACAAGAAAAAAGAGAAACTGGGCTGTTAGTTGCCAGTGATTCTGTCAAGCGAACACTTTATTTTGCCACTTACAACGAAGTTCTTCTGAAAGATCCCTTCTGCCGCTCTTCTGCAAATAGCGAGACAGGAGCTGCTGTTTATCAGCTGACCTCGGAAGGGTCTTTTGCCAGCAGCAAAGAAGCTCATAGATCTGCTGTGTTAAATTATCAGGGCACTTCAGCCTAACAAGCTGAAGTATGCTCCGCCGAACAGGGAGGCGTAAAGCAAGCAGTGATGTATTATCTTCTGCAAGCTCTTCTGCAAGCCAAAAGAGCAAGCTGTCCCATAGGGCCTCTGAAGGGCAAAAATTAGTAAAGTAATGCTATTATTTTTCTGTTATGTAAATATTTCTTTCAAAAAGCTTTCTAAAGCTGCAGGCTCGGTGGGTGAACTCCCAAACTAAATGTGATTTGTTTTTTACTGTAATGGAAACATCACCACTTCTTCTTTCTAATGTAATTTTTGGTAACTGAGACATGAAGTGGATATAGTCAAAAGCAGATTCAGTAATGATCTATAGCTCTTGGAACAGCATGGGGAAAGATTGCAATAAAATAAAAGGCATTTCCAATAACTGATACATTAGTTACACTGGAGCTTTCCAGTACAAACTGAATCTTATCATACAGAAAATTGTATGCTGCTCAAGTACCCCCCCTCCATGTTATCTTTAAAGAGCTTTTACATCTCCTGGTAACCAAATCACATTTTGCTTTAAATAACTTTTCATGCATTAACTACTTTGGTTCCTGAATATGGCATTTTAAAATGTCAGTTACAACTGAAATAAATCCCGCCATTTAAAAAATAAATAGCTAATATAACTATTGTTTATGCTGATGTTAATATGGTATGTAAATGTTCTTACCTGATGAATCAGAACAAATTCTTTTTGTGCTTCGTGGACGGTTGACCAACTTTTCATGCTATCAAACAAAATGTGTTGAAGAAAGAGAAATGACTAACTGAGCACGGGATGAGGCACGGGGATGGGTCGTAGTACATCAGCACTGAAGACTGGTCCTACCTACACAGGGCATTTGAGCCACTACTGAAAGTGAAGCAACACCATCAGCTGGTATAGATCAGTAAACAACTATCGAACTAATGAAATGAAGTCAACTTACACAAAGTGAATGTTTATTGCATCTTATTAATAAGATTGATTTATGCAATTTAATAAAAGTAGTTTCTTCAGTAGCATTATGTTGTGATAGGTGTATAGAAACTGGAGATATAGAATATCTGTAGGGAAACTTTGTACACAAGATGTATTCTAATTTCAAATGCTGCATTAACTTTTCCTTCCTGTCTCTGTGTACTTACTATAACGGTGTGCATAACATACTGTTTCAAGGAAGATAACAATACATACTGCATACTTAGAATCTGTTAGGTCTAGAAATTATACTATGTGTGTAGCTATAGTTATTCATTTTACATTGTTCAACTTTTAATTATAAATCACTGAAAATCATCATCATTCAAAAGGCAAGTTTCATTAGCAAATACAGAGTTCTTCCTCTTTTTTCCTTTTAATACTGGACAGAATGACAAAAACCTGTCTTTTTTCCTTTTAAATGAAAAAAGGGAAATTCTTGTGGGTCTTAATCTTGTTTCCTACTCCATGCAGAACAAGAAATTATTTACAAAAACACTGAGTACAAGAAGAAATTAATTTTCATCAAGTCAAGTCGGGCTCCTTTTTTTGTTAGAACTTGCAATTGTCCTCTTTTAGTACCCACATTAAATGTACTTTCGTCACACATTCAATTGTAGTACCTGGCTGTTTATGCTTTTCCTATGAGACTTGCTCCAGGTTTATTCGTGGAGCTTCCCTTTTCCATTTATGAATTAATAGCATGAAACTCTCACTGAATAAATTACCCTCATTTTGCTGCTGAGCTTACCAAGCCCTTCTGAGTAAACACTTAAAATATCCAAAAGGTAAATAAAATCATAACCAAGTTACCAATTCACCTGTGAGTTAAACAGCTTTCCACAAGGCCTATGCTCAGGGGTCGTGGTAGGTGACCTACAGTGTGCACTCACGGTATGCACCACGTCGCAATGCAAAACCATCCTGTGCTGTATGCATCCAGAAATTTGAATCTGCCTGGTTTTGTGTGCTTCTACAGCAATTCTGACATGCACCAAGTGTAAATGAAGGTACGGTAACATGGCTGAAAAAGCCCTCAGAATAAGGGGAATATAAAGCTCTTCCAGAAGGGGGCATTGTTTTTCTTCCAAGACAGGATTTTTTTTTGGCTTCTTTTTATTATGCCTTTATATTTGAATCTATTTTTATTCATTAATGTGAATTTAGCACCTCAAAACTCTGTATGATATTTTCAGAGTTATTATGGATGAACTCAATCACCCGTGGATTGACTTTAATCTGAACTACTTTATGCTACTTAATTTTAAAACAGTTGTAAAAATGGTAAGAATTGAAAATGAATATTGTCTAGAAATAGCGCAATAATATACGATGCATTAGACCTAAAACGTTAAATCTGCCTTTAAAGATTAAGTATATCTGGTGAAGAGCTAAATTCATCCACGGTTCAGCTGCACTGGCATGTGGCCCTGCTGTTTTGGTTGACAGTGTAAGTAAAATACTCTTAGCGGTCAAAGCAGTTTTTTAGTCTGGGAGGCCCTAAAATTAGCTAAGCAACTGCCCTTCTGAAGCAGAGGATCACATACTATTTTGCTGTTAGGCAGTCATTAAACGTAAAACTTCAGCAGCATAGTAATTTGATAACGCTTGAATGGAAAGCACTCTGATTTCAGTCAGTAATACTGAAGTGCCCTGCAAAATGGACCTTCAGACATGGCCAGACTCTGCTTGCATATCAAACAGGACAGACAGAAAAGGAGAAATTAACCTTTTAAACTCTTCAGCCCAGCTTTACAATCATACAAGTCCTTTGAAATCAGTAGGAAAATCACTGATAAGCTCACACATACTTGACATTAGAACCTGATCCACTGCATTTCCTTGTGTTGAAAATAACAGGTTTGACCAACCAGTGTTTTTGAATGCTGAGGAAATGAAAGCCCTATAAATAGGGCTTAGTTAATGGTTAGTTAATATGTTATTACATTTAAACTAAATTTAAGATATTTATGAAAGTAGCAGAAATGTAAATAGTTTTTGTTATTCTGACCCTGTATTTCAAGGATTTTATTCCCAAACCCTGAAAGGGTTCCCCAGTATACTGGGAGCAAGTGAGAAATCCTTCACCAGAGCTACAGTTTAGAGTCAATTAATTCATTTTAAGAGACAAGATCCTTACTGTGACAACTTGGAATGTGTAAGCAGCTGTTAGTGTAAGATCAATATTATAAACAAAACAGCATTATCAATAGGAGAGAGATGAAAACTGAAAACTATGTTTTAATATGCTTGAGAGAGATGTGGTAGCTAAATTGCTGTATTGTAGTAGTATGCATGTGGTAGAAACTGGCAGAACTGAAGAATCATTGCTTGAGTATATCTGCCATCATCAGGGCAATGTCTATTATTAATGCTCAAATTGTAATAAATAAGCAGATAAACAGAAGTTACACATGGAAACAAAGCACCACAAACAATCAAAACCCTTACTGTTAGAAAAATGTTAGTCTATGCACATGAATGTGGTCAGATGGTTCTAGGTGCTTTGGCAATACATTAATGGCATCAGCATAAGATTAATTATGGACAGTGTTAGTCTTGGTTCATATTATATGAACATTAATGCTAGACTTGTTCTTTTATGAAGTGGTAAATAGCAGTTGCATTTGACAGATGGATGGTGTAGTTGCTTGTATAATTAGTGTGTTCAATTTCTCCATGAGTGTGTTTTCTCATCCAATTTTAACAATTTTCTTCTATTTCTTTTATTCATTAGGAACCAAAACGTGCATACATATCTGATTAAAAATTTTTATCACATCACAGAGAGTAAAGATAAGATAAAATTCCTAAGTTAATTTTACTGTCAGTGCTTTCTTCACTATTAACAATTTTAGGACATATAATAAGAAATGGTAAGTAATTAGAATTACATTTTTGTTGCCCTATCATTCAATTGCATCTGGATCATTATGTTTAATAAAAGGTTCTGTCTCTTTTCCAGGCAATTCGTTCCTCACACACATTTTTAACTGCTGCAATATACTGTGAAAATGAGTTCATCTTTTGATTATTTTTGCATGCAAAACGTATGTTCTTTTGTATCATTAGTTATATCTGCCACTTACCAATATCACTGTTCTTGTATCCTGCAAAGGGGGCTGTAACCATTCCATTTTCTCTTCTTGAGTGTACAATATTTCCACTAATAACCAAAACTGTGTGAGGGGTTACCATTAATGTATTGTCTTCCTACATGGAACCACTCCATGTTTATGATCACCTTCTTTCTTTCCTCTGCTAATTAGTCTGTTTCAGTTCTGTGACCATGACTGCAGAGCGTAGTCATAATATGGATGCCTCATGGATAAATGTCATAACCCTGTTTTTTTTTGTTTGTTTGTTTGTTTTTGTTTTGTTTTTAATTACTAGTATGTATTTATTTATTGATGTGTGTGTTTAATTTTTAATTTTGTGTGTGCTAACATGTTCAGGTGAAAGTCCTGTACCAGAATTCTCCCATCATTTATTGTCCACCTGCAGAGCTAGTGTACTCCTAGTTCGTATAGTTCCTGACAATGCAGTAAGTGAATGTATCTGTCAAGGGCTGAAAGGACAAAAGATTATCTGCATTCCCGATGTTAAACTTCCTTTCCAATTTAACATTTACAATTTAACAACCATAACCATGTTATGCAGTTCTTCTGCTTCTTTTACACGAATAGGCTGCCTGGGTGTTTTTGCATGCCCACATATATTACATATTCTTGTACACTTATGCAGAGTGACCAGATTTCAAGATCTCAGCCATACTGGGAAAGAGAAAATGTGGCCTTAAATTTAGTAGGAGAAAAAGGTTAGTCAGAAATAATTGTTTTGAAAAATCTGAGTTGGATATTTTAAGACTAGTGTGTATAGCATGAGGCTGTATACACCAAAACAAATCTGAGGCACTTGATAATTATCTTTGTGGTTTAGTACAAATGCAGCCCGTTTCACTAAATCTTATTCTAAATATACAGTAAGATTAACTAAGGAGGAAAAATGGGATGGAAGAGTGGCAAGTGGATGGAAGAAAACTAATTGATACCTAGGTTGTGTCACTGGTCCTTGTTTTGTTTGTTCGTGGGTTTGGGTTTTTGTTTGTTTGATTGTGATCTTCCCCAGTGGAGCCTCAAGAGTTTTTATTTCTCTCTCTGTGAGTACTATACATGGGATGCTAGCCCTGTGAAAAAGCAAAAAGGGTGAAAGCATGTGATTCCCCTCTGCCAAATTTACATTTTATATGGATTTTATCATTAAAAGAAGCCTCCTCTCAAAATCTTCTGCACTTAACTGTTCTTATTTTATACTTGGGAGAATGGAAATGAGAGAAAAATCAAGAGCTATGCTTACAGAATAGAAGCTGTATTTGCAGGTAATACTTTAAGAAGAGTGAGTTCAATTACATTCGAAAAGAAACAGGTGCTACTGCATGCCACTAGAGATTCAGACCAGTGTTGCCTGCACAGATTTTGAGATTAAAATGTATGTAAACTTGATAAAAGTATTCTAGTGGCAGAATTTATACAATACAGGATGTTGATATCTGGGCTCTTTGAAAAGATTACAATTTGATTTCATTCCATTAAAGGTTAATTTATGTAAGAATAGCTTTCACCAGAGATGAAGTCAAATGCCCACATGGCTGTATTGCAGAGGCTTATCAAATATAATAGGAAAATCAGGTGATAGGAGGAAGGTTACATCAACCATTTATGCGCCTACAATTTGCAATTCTGCACTGCCTAGACAAGGTTACAGAGAATATTTAACTGACACTTAAGTAATAATTTCTCAGGGCCATACCAGCTGGAAAGGGCAAATCTGTGAAAAACTTCTGCTAAGTACAATTTTTCTATGCTGGTCCTTGGATGAGAGTCTCTCACCTGCCAAGAGAAATTCTGAGGGTGTTTTGTACATTGCTGATGGATCAGAACTGCAACATCAGCAATTCTTTGGCTTATCTGTAATGGAAAAATTGTACCAAGATACGTTTGCCTTACATATACATGGTAAGGGAGTGTGGAAAATACCTCTAGCATTACCAAGTGAAAAACTCACCTTTGGTAATGTTAGTGCCAATTTACACAGTGGTGACTGGTGTTGGTAATCAGCACATGGCAAGGGCTGTTTCCATTCCTTGGTTATCATCTCTCTGGTAATTTTATAAAAAACAGCTGTTCCTTTGTAATGAGGTGAACTGTGGTTACCAAACTCATCCACTTCTTTAATTTCGAGCTCTAGCTTGGGCTTTCTTTGTGAATGAAAAGTCAACCTGTAGCCTTTTCCAAAGTCTTTTCCATTTTCTGCAGACCATGCAACAACAACAACAAAAAAAGACAAACAAAAAAACATGAGCAAACAGAACACCATTTTACATGTATACACTGTATTTGGATGTGTGGTATTTAAAATAATTAATTGCAATGAGTTAAATGGAACAAATCACATAATAATCTTTGCCATTGTTTTTACTTTATATTGGATGTCTGATGCTCAAATACTTCCCCTAGCCTGCCTCAGTAGTTGGAATATATTCACAGTTAGCTGTCTTAGCCCCTGAATTGTTGGCCTGGGTTGGCGTGTTGGCATAAGTGATGAAGGCTGTGCTACAATTTGATAAGTAAGGAAAATGGAAGGTGATAAATTATATAACAGAGAGAAATAAAAGTCATGGTGAGAATTGAATCAGAAATATATGTTTTCTGGTTATTCATGATGGATGTCTGCCTATCTGTAACAGCAACCAGAATGAGTTCAGAGGGGTATGTGCATTTTTAGGATTTGTAATTTCATTTTATGTGATGTATCTCTAACACTACCCTTTCCGTAGATAAGCAGGCAACCTGGAGGTTTCTCTTTTGGGAGAATTTCTTTAGCATAAATGACGTTTTCAATGGATGAGTTTATATAAAACATACAAAATGTTCAGGGAGCTACATACATGTTAACAGGTGATTTCCAAAGCTGACAGAAGAGACTGCATGTAATTTTGTGTGAAAATTTTTCTGAGGTTTCTTATCTCATCTCCCTTTAAGTAAATTGCTGAATAGGGGAAGCCAGTGCATGGAATGCTCAAGACTGCTAATGTGAACAGCATAATAACTCTCTCATTGCCTCAGTTTATGATGCAACTCACAATAACCACCATTTTGCCCTGTATTTCAGTGTTAAACCTCGCTCACTTTAAGTGAATGCACACAGATAAAATAGCAGACTGCCTATTTTTATTTTGAATCTGTTTAATTCCTATCAAAGGCTCATTAAGTTAAAAAGCCATTATTTCATTGATAGAATTCTGCACTTTTAAGACAAAAGATAAACCAGAGTCTTCCAAGGGACCAGGTTGCACAGAATGTCATAGATTGGAAGAAATCTCTAAAGGTCATCTTGTAGATCAGTTCTGCTCAAAGCAGTGTCATTGTAGTGGGTTTACATGGCAAGGTTTTGGTACAGGAGGGGCATAGAGGTGGCTTCTGTGAGAAGACTTCAGAATCTGCCCCATATTAGGTAAGGGCTCTGCTGCTGGCCAGAGCCAAGACAATAAGCGATGTTGTTTGTGCCTCTGTGAGAGCATATTTAAGAAAGGAAAAACAACTGCTGTGGAACAGCAGCTGGGAGAGAGAGAGAGGAGTGAAAAACAGATGCCATGGTCGGTGAAGAAGGATGGGAGGAGGTATTCCAGGCGCCGGAGCAAAAGTCCCCTGCGGCCTATGATGAGGACCACTGTGGAGCAGGCTGTCCCCCTGCAGCCCATGGGAGTATCACGGTGAAGCAGGGTTCCACGCTGCAGCCCGAGGAGGAGCCCCCAGTGGAGCAGGTGGTTGTGGCCTGGAGGAGGCTGTGGTTCATGGAGAGCCCCCGCAGGAACAGGCCCTGGGCTGGAGCTGCCGCCCGTGGTGGACCCATGTTGGAGCAGTTTGCTCCTGAGGGATGTGGCCCCGTGTTACGGGGCCATATCTGGAGCAGTTCTTGAAGAGCTGCTGCCTGTGGGAAGCCCACATAGGATCAGTTTGGGAAGGACAGCATCCCATGAGAGGGACCCCATGTTGCAGCAGGAGCAGAGAGTGTCTGAGAAGGAGTGGCAGAGACAAAGTGTTATAGACTGACCACAGCCCCCATTTCCCCGTTCCCCTGTGCCACTTGGGGAGAGGAGGTGGAAAAGGGTAGATAGGGGGAAAGTGGTTTTAGTTTCCTTTGTTTCTCACTTCTCTAGCTTGTAAGTAATAGGCAAGAAATCCTACTAACTCCCTACTCCGAGTCTGTTTTGCCCATCACAGTAATTGTTGAGTGATCTCCCCATCCTTATCTCAACCCTTGAGCCCTCTGTGTTGTATTTTCTCCCGGGGATGAGAGAGTGGCTGTGGTGGAGCTCGGTTGCCCAGCCGAGTAAAACCACCACAGAACAGGTTTCTCAGGATATTGTTTATCTAGCACATTTTATTTGTCAGTTAGAGCAGTTTCCTCTGCAGTTCCATGCACCTGTCATTTATAAGCTATAAAACAGTGAAATAACTAAATATGCTGTGACTAACCACAATCTATTGATGTTCACATACAGTATTTCTGAACAGCTGAGCTGACTGATAAAGTACATCCAGAAGCACCAATTAATTACCTTACCTGAAGCAAATATATTGCCTGTAAATTGAAAATGAATCTGCTCTCCTTCTCTTAATGGAAACTGCTGCGTAGGTTCTGGGGGACCAAAGTAGCCCTCCTCGTGGAGATTTTGAAGCTCCCAGGACAATTCTTTGGATGCAGATAGTAAGACTACTATTTTATTTGGGTTTTCTCTTTTCCGATACAATATCACATTAGACATTGTGCTGCAAACAGCTTCTTCCAGAGCCTGAGCAAAAAGGAGAAGATACGTAGTTTCCAAAAGGAATGAAAGCCGAATGACCACAAAGCTGTATTAAAAAAGGAAAGAAAGTAGATAGTTCTATCAATTCAACAGCTAACAATTAATTATGTAAAATAACACAGCTCTTAGTCTCTCATAGATATTTTATCTCTTTTTATTCTGTTTTCCAACACATGAAAGAGTGAAAATCTGCCTCTGCTGTAGAGTATATTGACTCTATATCTATCAATTAAAATACATATGAATTTTAGAGGAAAGTAAGAAACTATTTCTTAATAAGAAATTTCCAAAAATGGTGTTGTAGTTAGCTAAATCACACCTTTCCAAATTTAGATTGATATCTGTATTTTCTGCCTCCAATTTTGGGTATGTTACATTGTGCACAATCTCTAGATGAAAAATTATTTAAATTTATTTTTTCTGTAATTATGTGTAACAAGTCTAAATGACCTGATACTACAAAGTAAAAGAAAGAGATGCTGGCAAGTTAATAATTTACAGTGAATGACTTCTTGATTCTACTAATTTACATTGACCCATACCGTTGGAAGTAAATAGTAAATAAAAATTTATTAAATTTTCAGTACATTACCTTTCTAAATGTTCATTTAGTTCAAATGATACAAGCCCATTTCGTGCATTCTGGATATTAATATCATCAAACACCATCCATTCACGTTCTTTGTATCTATGACCTAATAATTTCAAAGAATCGCTGAGATTCTCTCCATTCTTTCTCACAGAAGCACTTGTAGCCCTGGAAAGCCAAGAAATTATACAAAACAAAAGAAAACCACAACTGCAGAAAGAGTAAGAGTAAGGCTTGAGTAAAGCTTGTATTTGTAGCACTGCTTTCCCTTCTGCTTTTCTTGATGACTATGCATTTTTTTCCACCTCGTAGTGGAAAAAATACTTCTGAAAACATACTCCAGAGCACATAAGGAATGTAATTGTTAGCCTCAGCCTATTTGCAAATGAAGGAAAATATTGACATTGGAATTTGTATAGAAACAACCAATTTGTAGTCTTTTCTAGTAGTGCTTTGACTGAGAATCTAAAATACTATTTAAACTACGCTTAAGAACTGGAAAGTGCCACAAGGGTACTGCTGCACAATGAAGTGCTTCTGGTATGAGAAATGCATTTTGAATATCCTATTAACTGCCATGGGCAACCTTCCCAAATCTGAAGTTTGTGATGAAAATGGATGTCTAGTCAAGGAGATCAATGTAACTGTAAACTCTTTAAAATATGATGTGACAAGTGTTTCAGAAATGGAAAGCTGGAACATTGTCTTCCTTCTCCATCTGTACCCTGCTTATTTTGAAGATAATCATAAATGTTATTACACTGCAAGTTAACAACTGAAATTTAGAGATTTATTTTTTTTAGGTGTCTCCATGTTTTAATGCTTCAAAAAGGTCTAATTTTTATATATCTTGTAGCGTGTGCTTTGGAAAAATCTGACCCTTTCTCTGGTGCAGGTACCAAAAAAATGACATGCCTTAAATCCTTATTTCAGAAATTTTGACTCAAGTAGCCATTGGAATGTGTGGAAGTAGAGATCAGAAAATTCAGTGCATTTCTCATCCTCACTCCTGCTAGAAATAAAGTGGTCAGCAGCAGTTAGCATATTTACATTATACATCAACATATTATATGGATTTTCTTTGTGAAGTGATAACATGAGAATTGTGTGGATATGTGCTAGTGTTTCTAATATTTGTAACTATAGCAGACTGTATTCAAGAAGTAACACATTTTTAGTGCAAAAATTATTAATGAACATCTGTTAAAATTAATTAATTTTAATGCTTTTAGAATGCTGAATTTGTAGTGGAGTTGTTCTTACCGAGGATGGTATGCTGCGGCAACCCTCTTTACTGTAGCACTGATGGCTCTCACTTGTTCTGTCTCATCTCCTTGCCTTTTTTTTTCTGGGTTTGGAGGACAAGGTAGAGTAATAGTGACTGAGTTATTAAACGGTTGGGCTGAAGGATGCTGGACATAAACCAGTGCACTGGTAGATACCACTGAGTAGTACATATCATGTCTTGCTTTCAGTGTGGATATCAGTGATGGTTCAATTGGCTGAACCTAAATATGGAAAGCAATTGTACAAGTAATTTGTAAATGAATAAATCTTCCCGTACTTTCTAATTGTATTATCTTTTGAAATTGGATGAGAAAGGCTTTAGGCTCCTCACTGTAACCCAGGACCAACCCTAATAATGTGCAAGGAATTTATACAGTACACAGCTAAGTGCTCCAAAGTAATCAAAAACTTGAAACTTTACTGACTTAAATATTTGACAGTTAACTTGACCTTCTCTGCATGTAGTACTTTGGTTGTTATGGAGGAAGGGAGAAACACGGTATAACTGAAGGAAATTTTGAGATTGTTCCTAGGCTAACCCTAAGAGGTGACAAAGTCTGTTGCAGCGCATGGCAGAAATGAAGAAGGTCATGTGAGAAAAATTGTTCCACTAACTTAGAAACTGGGCTATACAGTTGAAGTTTGGTGTTGATGCTTTGTGGAAAGCAATTGTTTTTTTTTTTTTTTTTTTTTTTTGTTTTTTTTCTGAAGTATATCGAACACAGGTTGATGGATCTTCCTTTTAGGTGGAGATACCATACTGACTACTAGCAGTATCAAGTGGTTTTAACAATGCCGACAGGAAACCATTTGCTATGAATAGAGGATGTGGAGGTGCCACTGCTTTTCATAGACATCTAATAATGGAACAGGTTGCCCTTTAACACTGTTATCATCAGTACTTCAGAACTGATCAGATAACACAGAGTTGTGGAACAAGTTACTGCATATTTCAGTCTCACCTTTAACTGCATGGCTGCTGGAGAACTGAATGTTTCCGGAGGATAATAGAAAGAGATTCTAGAATCCATGCTCAGCTTTTGTGAGAGTCCTGCCTTTGGAACAGTAAATGTTTCTCTCTTTAAGCACGACAACACAGAAAAAACACCCAGCTGGTAAACTTTCACTTCCGCAAATGCTTCCTGTGTAAAGAGAAAGTGGGGTAGAGTACATCAGAGGGAAAGGAAGCTGTGTTCTGAAGCACGTTAGCGTTTTGAGAGGGCAACATTAATTATAGAGAAAAGTATGAAACAAAATGAATTATTATTGTGAAGTATTATTGCCACTTGGATGCCCAGTTATCTGGTGATTTCTAGTCATCGTGTAATGTCATTCATATTCCAGTGTATGACTGGCATGAAATGAGATGAGCTCATCAACTGGGTGATGAATCTTACCCAACGTGATTACTTCTGCAGTTAAAAAAAGAACTGAGATGGAGTTTGGACTTGTACGCACAGAACTGTGTTACTTCTTTGTGATCTGAATGCAAAATAATTCCCCTTATGATTTTACTTTTATCAAAGAATGCAACATATTACACATATTTACAAAATCATAAATTAATACTCTGTCATTAGTATTGTGGAAACAGGCACTTCCCTTATGACTACTAATGAAAAAAGGACCTTGTTAAATACCAGATTTCAAATAGAATTCATTCTTGACGGGGTAAAGTAAAATTCAATTTAACCCCACGTAATGGGCAATATGGCTTAATAAGGACAAGTTTACTTGTATAACTCCACGCAGGCTAATCTGAGCAACTGTACAGATGTTTTCACAGTGTTTAGATAAGAGGTTACCAACCTTATGGTTTCCTTGGTATCCCTCCAAAGAAATGGGAGTTAAGTAATTTGATTGAAAGTTCACTTCGGTCACCTTCACCATAATTTCCCGATAATTTCCTCTGAAGCATGAAGTAAATGGGATTGCAATGTTGATAGGGAAAGGGATTGTTTTCTCATAATCAGAGCATTCAATACTGATAACATTGCTGACCAGCTCTTCACAATCATCAACCACCAAGGAACTAGTGTCATTGACTATCTTACACGTCAGATTCTCCAGAGCAGTTGCAGGGGCTTTAATAAAACAAACTACTTTACGTTCATTCTTACCACTCTCTTCTACTAGAAACCTGGAGAAAAAGAATAAAAAATATTAGGTTTTGTATTTTGAATGTGGTGGTGTCTTGCTATAATCATTGCTTCATTATAGTAAAAACAGATCATTCATAAGAACATATGTATATGAATAGATAGGAAGATCATGAAAAATTTTATGTTGAGCTTGTTTCAGAGCAGTTTACAAATTATTACAGAATATACTAATTGGAGGTCCTTTTCTACTGATTTCCAGCAATTTTGGAATTACCGACTTTACTGTCTGTGACTCAGTTCCTCAATGGTTTAAAAAAATAAAAATCTATGCAATCAATTAGAAAGCTTCAGTTTACTTTAGACCGAATTGAAGATCTTCATTGTGCATGTTATGAACTGCACACTGTAAACTTAAATTGTAAACTGGTATGTGCAAGGCCAGCAGCTGTTTGATATGTGCATATTGAGCTTGTGGGCCCACAGATGTTTATATATATGCTTATAAACAATATCAATGTGTGTCTGAAAGAAGAATATGCTTACTCTTTGTTCATCCAGTGCCCAGATTTTTGCACTTCTGAATCATTTGTAGATGGATTCACAGCAGTAAGATCACATGTTTGTGCTAAAAATGTAATTAGACCATTTGTACAAATCTCATAATTTGTTTTCATTTTACTGTCTTCCATTTGCTCTGACAGTCTGTGTTCTTCACTTTCCACCTCTTTTGACAGTTCTATGACTACTGCCTTTTCTTCCTCTTCACAAGGGCTTGTGACAATTTTGTCGTAAATATCTGTCAATGTCTGAGATGGAAGGCCTTCTCGAGTGCCCTTAAGAACATCTTGACAAGCCAGTTCTGAATATTTTTCTGTAAGAGCACTATCTCTGAGAGGTTTATCTTTCCCATTATTATCTTTTTTCTCTGGAGTAGAGGTCATTAGCACTCTGTATTCACCATCTTCCTTTTTCACTGGAGGTTCTCTGCTAATGTCCTGTTCTTGAGCAGATACGTTTTCAGCTGTTGATGCAAATATTTCTTTTGCCACAGTTTTAGTGTCACTTGGCTGGATTTGATTAATGTTCTGACTTTCTGTCTTGTTAGGAGAAGGATTTTTGGGGGATTGCTGACTGGGACTTGCACAGGATGCTTGCACAGACTCCATTGCTTCTCCTACAGAACAACACACACTCGTTTCCCCAGAAGTATTTTGAACAGTCAGGATATGAGAATCATCTGGTTTGCAGCTAGCAGCATAAAGTTTATTTTTGGCCTCTTGAAGGTGTGAAACTGTGTTTGTCAAATAATCTTTCATTTTCTGCAGACAATCTATAATGTCATTGTACTCTGAGGGGAGGAAAAAAAAAAAGTAGGTAACCAATTAAATTTTGCTATGAGAACTAGACAAAAATGTGAAGACTTTTACATGTATATATAGTGAATTGCACTAATTTAATAATAATTCCATAATGGCATGCAACACATGTAGTAAAATATATTTCCTGGCTTTCATTTAATGTTTTTGCACTTTCTGCTATTCAGTTTGAGTGAATTTCTGAGGAACTGAAGTAAAATGTGTGCTTGTCCAAGTACTATTGTGGCAGCTCTAATGAACCCCATTCTAATGATTAGACACAACCTAAATTCTTAATGACAATTGATCTACAGCAGGGAATTGGTAAATAATAGTCGAATCAGCTTGGGAACAGCTTGAAAACTAAACATTAATTACGTATATTTCCCAGAATTGGATCTTGCAAGATTCTAACATATGGGTCTCCAACAAAGCTGTTATACGTGACCTCAGTATTAAACATGCTTAGCAGCTTTGAATTTTTGCTCTAAAGAACAGAGGATAATGCAAGAATACCAGCACATTTACAATGCTGAAATTCAGCAGTTTGTAGCATGTAGTTATAGTAATGGTAGAAGTTTGCCTTGCGTATAACTAAAAGCACTGGGTGAAGAAACATGCAACAAAAGCAAACGTTCCCTGTCATTCATTTAATATTTTATCTTTAATGAAAGTATTTATTTTATGATCCCTCACTTGTCTTATCTTATACCTTTTCTTAGAAAACTTTCCAGGTATTATTGCCAGAGATTTCATTGTATTACAAACAGCTCTCCCCTCACCTTATGTTGTCAATCTCTCTATACCTGGAAGTATGCCTTCATGAATTAGGTATATCGAAAACCTCTGGAAGAAATTCTTACTTTCTTTTTGCTGCATAAACTCCTAAAAAGCTTTGTTTTGCTGGCTAAATCTACTGGAAGTCAATACAAATAAGAAAATTGTGTAGATGAAAGATGGTATAGTGTGTTCTCCACTTATAGAGGAGAGAGAGAGAGACAACAGAATGACAATAGAAAGGATTTGATGCTTTTGGTACCAGTGGGGAAAATGGTGATTTTTTGTTAACTTTATTCAGTAACATCACATGAAGTAAATCAGTATCTCAAGGTTTTCAAGTTTGAAAATAACTGTTTTGAGTAAGAATTTCATAGCTATATTAGTTTAGATAGGCCTTTAACTTACATCTTTATTTGCACCTGATTGAGTTAAAAAACTACAGAGTACCGTTCAGTATAAATTTTTTTTATTGCTGATCCCAGTCTAAAAATTATTCCTTTGCAATAGTTTTTCAGTTTCTAAATTATTTGGTTTAGGATCTTGACTATCTAGAAAAAAAAAAAAAAAAAAAAAAAGCCAACACATTTTAAATGTTTTTTGTTATTGTTTTTGTTTTGTTTTGTTTTGTTTTGTTTTTGTTTTCCACTGGCAGTTCAAGGAGAAAATGAGTTTGTTCTAAGACACTGCTGTTTTTCCAATGGTACTTTTACAATGGTGAAGAACTTCCAAATAGTTTAACAGGCATGAGATAAACAAAAGGACTGGAAATAACAGAGCTTGCACAGCTTGGTTTACATAAGAGGCTAGAAAAAAACCAACACTTCCTAGTGTCACTAATGCAAACCTCAAGCTTTGGCAGTGCAAACTATCCTGTTTAGTACCTGAAGTTTGGATTCTCTAAATAACAGCAACAACCAAAAAGAAAACCTACAGCCACTTTAACTTTCTTAAAATCCAATATATAGATCATAGTGTCTTTCTGAACAATATTATTTTCCTACATTGTGAACTTTAAAATAATATTTTAAAATATTCAAATTTAAAATTAAAAGAATAACTTAATATTTCCATGCTTGGCGTAAAGCCAAAAAACGACACTGCCCTGTAACTTTAGACCTTAGGTAGCCTATATGCAAACTGTCTTCAAACCTCTTGCCAACTGATTATTTTATGGGAAAGCAAGACAGTTAATTCTTAGAAAGCTCAAACAAAAAAGGTCATATAGATCATGAGGCCAACAAAGCAAAACTAGCTTGATCCTGGAGTCTGGAAGCAGGTCCTATCATAGAATCATGCAATCATTAAGGCTGGAAAAGACCTCCAAGATCATCTGGTCCAACCGTCCCCCTACCACCACTATCACCCACTAATCCATGTCCCTAAGCGCCAGGTCCAACCTTTCCTTAAACACACCCAGGTACGGTGACTCCACCACCTCACTGAGCAACCCATTCCAATGTGTAACAACTCTTTCTGAGAAGAAACATCTCCTCATTATCAACCTGAACCTCTTCAGCACAACTTGAGGCCATTCCCTCTTATCCTGTCAGAAATGTAGTCCCTGTCAGAAATGTTTGTTGTTTTTTTTTTTTTTTTTTATTACTCTGGACACCTTATAAACCTTCAGGACACAGGCTCATTAATGTGGGCATGGCTAAAGATTTTTGTCTGGAGCCTCCCCCTCTAGTCTCAGAATCATTCACTTAGACCACTATTAAATGTTTTCTTTTCTACCATGACTAATATTTACTAAGATGCTGTTTCTGAGGAAAGAGATTTGTTTCATTTGTCATGAAATCTGCATTTCGTTTTTTCAGGAGTAAAATACAGATGTAGTTCTCACAATACATAGAATGGTTAGAGATTTTAAAATACAAGCACAAAAAAGTAACGTTCATGTGTTTATCTGTACACTAGGATGACAGAACTCATAATTATTACTATCTTTTTAACTACACTGTTACTTGTTGAGGACTGTAGTCTATAAATACTGTGTTCCTGCCCAGAAACCCTAGCAATAGTGGGGAGCTATCTGTGAGGAGAGGCAGGGGATGCCCCGCCCTGCACTGGACACAGTCAGTTCCAGTGAGCTCCAACAGCCCCACCGCAGGGCCCTGTCAGCAAAGGTGGTGCTGCATCTGCGAAGATATGTTTAAAAATGGGCAAAGACACCAGAGAGAGTGAATAAAAATTGATGGGAACCTGCCCTGCAAACACCAAGACCAGAGAAGGAGGGCCAGGGAAGAGCTGCTACAGGTGCCGGAGCTGACGTTCCCCTGCAGTGTGTGAGGAGGACATGGTGGAGCAGATCTCCATGCTGCAGCCCATGCAGGACCCACACTGGAGCAGGTATACCCTGGAGGAACTGCAGCCCGTGGAGAGCCCAGGCTGGAGCAGGGGTCTGGCAGGAGCTGTGAGCTATAACCCAAGCTGGAGCAGGAGTAAGTGTGAGGAGGAAAGGAGGGGCACAGAGGAGATGTTAGGGACTGACCACAAGCCCATCCCCATGCCCCGTGCTGTGCTGGGTGGCAGGAGGGGTGGTGAAAGGAGTGAAGTTGAGCCTAGAAAAAAGGAGGGGTACGGGAACATATTGAGCATCATTACATGTCATAACTTAGCATCCAATACACCCAGTCCATTCTCTTTGTGGGGAGGTTGCTTTATACTTGCCTGGACTTGCAGTCAATTCCTTGTGTTTGTCATGGAGAACACTCAGCAAGTGGCAAGTGTCTTGAAGGCTTTCTGTAATGTTCCCCAGGTGTTGGCTGAGAGATCCACTCAGCTCTCTTGTTGAAGAGCTCAGTCTTAGCACATACTCCACTCTCTCTTCTTTATCACTTTTCAGAAGCACATCTCTTGCTAGCAGGTTCAGTTGCCAGATCTTTTCCAGTTCTGATTTGTCTGCAGAAGGTGTAAACCTACCTTCAGCCATTTCCATCTTATATTCAGGATGTCCAACTACAATTTTTTTCTGGTGTTCAGACACTTTCACAAGATGATGTCCTTTCTGCAGACTGCACTGTTTGTTTGTAACTTAAACAGCTTATAAAAAGGTACTATATTCGACACATACTGCAAAAATCAAGCTCTAGCTCAGCAACTCTGAGTTGATGTTGACTATTAAAAAGTTACTAGGTGACAAAAAGGTGTGGCTCTGGTGTGACTAAGGGCAAGAAATGCCAAGAGATGCCAATGTACAGCACACACATTTAAGAGCATAAATAGGGAGGTTATATAACTCAGTTATGTAACACTGACTTACACTGCAGGAACTATGAGCTGTTTCTTATTTCAATGGCAGCAAATGATCAGTACCTATGAAATCAAGCCCTAACTAAGAATTCATAATTATATAGTCACCACCAACAAGGAAGTGCAGCTTTTCATTGCAAGCTAGCATTAAGTGCAGTAGGTCACTAGATGCCGTTTTCTAACAACTGCATTTTGTTCAGGGACATCAAGTATGTGGGATAGATCCAAGCTGTATGATATATTTGAATTATACGTTTCAGGAATACGAGAATTTACAAATCTGATTTTGCGACAATGGACATGTAAAGAAACATGCAGTGTTTTCTGGGGTGTGTTAACATAACAGGGGAAGAAAGGTAAAGAAAAGGCAGTAACGGCTAAAAGTTCAAACAGTGAATGCCTGACATTTCATATGATAGTTTGGATGTTAAGAAGCAAACTTATGAGAAAAATGTGAGCTCACTAAACTTAAATGTGATGTAAAGAATTGACTGTAGGTTGGTCAGAGGAAAAAAAATTAAAAAGGCTGTCTTCAAGAGTACTCCCGTGAAAACTGGCAGCTCTGCTTTTGCAGGGCCTCATCACCACCTGCTCCTGGAAACTACTTTGTCTAGTAGGGCTCCTGTGCTGTTTGTTCATTGACTCCAGTGGGTGAAATTTGAGAGCTGATATCTCAATGACAGTATTTGCATTGATTTCCGTCTCATCCAGCATGTTCAGGAATGTCTCACCAGTATGGCAATGAAAAGAGATGGAGCAGACTGGCCTGAAATCTTCATAGGCAGAGTTCAGTACTGGTCTAAATTTGAAGTGTCATATACACCAAAAATGCTTTATAGTTTAAGAATTATGCTATACAAATTGTCAACACAGTGTCTTTCCCACTAAATATTCTTCTTTATGGTCCATTATAAATAATGCAGCTTTTAATAGCAATTAAAATGGGACCAGGATGTAAAAGCACACTGAAAATAGCATTGGAGCATTGTAAGGACTAATAAGGTAATGTCAGCAGAGTGCTTTGAAGATGTAAAGTACTGTATAAATGCTAAAAATAACCAGGAAAGATAAAAACTGTCTTTAATCAGTGTATGAGCTGAAACCAGCTGTAATTATTAAATTCAAAAGGAAAGTTCCTTTTGACTCATTATAGTTTGCTTGATCACACTGAGTGTTCTGCACAGCTAACACAAAAGGGTAGGTGAATCACTAACCTATTTACCGTTTCTAATGGTCCAGCTGCACTACATTCTTCTAAGTTACTCCTAGGAGAAAGGGAACTCTGAAAATAACATATACTTTCATGTACAAGAAGTGAAAAATCTAATCTCACTCAAATTTTTGAGGATGTGTAAGGATAATACAGGAAGGGGAATAAAAATACTTTATTATGTGTTTACTGTATACTATTGCATACACCACTTTCTTGGTATGCTTCTATATTATTCCTCTAACTATAGTATAGTGGGATTCATCAGCTCTGGATCTTTTCCAGTACATGTATTTGTTTAGAATACTTCAGACTATCTAAATCAATTAGCAGACATGAGTTTAGAAAATAAAAATAATAAAAAAAAGTTAGTTTGAATAATGTTCAAATAAGATCTGTTTTTTAAAAAACTAAATTTTGTGTGTGAAATAGATACTAATAAATGGCCCCTTGCCAGAATATGACTATTCATCAGATGTTGCAGAGATTTCTAGAAGCTACTACTACAACACATTTTATAAACATGATTTTAGAAGATATGACAGGAACTGATCTATATTCATGTTCTTTGCCATAAGCAAACTGCTTTGACGAGTTAAAGAATTAAATATGTAACTCCTGCTTCAGATAATCCATGCTATCTCTATAAATCCTCTATGCATTTTTGAAAGAGAAGATTAGTTTAGAAAAGACATTTATCTAAATTACATTCAATAGGAGATGAGAAACTATTCTGAGTTTTTAACGTGTAGCTTAAAAAACAATACCAATCCTTTGAGATAAAAAATTATATTGATCTTCTCTAAACTTGAGTGCAAAAAGCTTCTGTAAAAGTATAAAGTACTGCATGGTATAATTGTTTGTCCTACAGAGGTCTGTATAAGAATTTACTGTATAGGTAATTAGGTGAGCTACATACTTGTTGAAGCACTTGTTACACAAGCACTGCTATTGGGAGACATTTGACTTTTATATGCATGTTTATACATCAGATCTCTAGAAGGAAAATGAAGTAGTAACAGCCACTCATTACAGTTGACTCTTCCGACTCTTTTACTCTTCAACGGTAGTAAAGAGCATATATACATGTAGTTAGGTTGTTTGATGATCTGTTTGAAGGTGTTTAAGTTCAGCTATTTATATAGCAGAAACATAGTTTCAGTCAAACAAAAATAGATCCCTATTAGAGTTTCAGTTGTGCTAACCATGGTGCTAATCCTGATCTATGCCTACGGTCAATGAAAGCCTGTTTGTGGTATTTTACTAATAATTCACCATTTTCTCCTTACTTGAAGAAAGATGAAAAATTATGTATCTGGAATTTATTAGTTATATTTGTTGCTGTTTAATGGATAGTATTACAACTTAAGGCTTGTGTTTATGTACTAAACTGGCATTGAGCAATAAAAATATATTTGAGATAAATTAGACTTTTATTACTTGGCACAAGTTCTTGCCCAAAGCGATCAAATCTGGTTGTAGTGTTCAGGGCCCTACAAGCCTTTGTGGCCCAGACCAGCCTCACTGGGTGAGATCAGATCATAACTGGGCAATGTCTGAAGCTTTCTGAGTATGCTGCAAATGTTACTGAAATGAGTAAAATAGCCCCAGCCTCACTGGAAGTTCCTGCAAAAAATCTATCCTTTAGCTGAAAAAGAATCAAGCTCTTAGGGGTAAGATGAAGGCACAGTTATGATGTTTACTATTACACATGGATAGTCTTACAACAAACTCACAGGGAAAGAGACGTGTGGGTGTCCTCCTGCAACCCCTTTGTCAAAATAGGGCCCTGTGCCTGGGTAGGTAATATAAAGGGTAGAAAATTCAAATAATCAAGAGACAATGTGTAAGAAGTAAGTGCAAGAAAAATTGTGGTAGATGTAAAATTGTTTCTAAATTGTATATTTTCAGCTCTTGGGTTCTTTTTTTATTTACATTTTGTGAAAGAACTAATAACAAGAGAGCTGTGCACTCATCCTGAGAGCTTGGTTCTCCATTGAATTTTGATATTATGAAGAGTGATACTACTCTTTAGCAAACCTACATCAGCAAGAAAGAAATATAGTAGAAAATTGACTCCATGCTGGACTTTGTTTTAAAACAATTTGTATACCTGAGTTACTTTTACTTTTAACTATATTCTCTTAACTATTCAAAAAGTCCTTAAAAAAGAGCTTTCACATCCATTTTAAATAATGGCCTTGGATGTATGAGGAAAAACATATACAATTTAGAAAAATAGGGATCAAAGTATACATTTAAATACAGTTATTATCGTTTAGCAGATGAATGTACATGTTCTTTTCAGAATACCTTAACAATGTTGCATAGCTGATAACAAAGTGGACTTTGCTCTGCTAGGAAAAGAGATTAGACTGTGTGATGCAGACAAAGTAAATTCTATCTTTATATTCTGTGTATAATACAAAGTTCAGTACCTAACAATAAATGCATTTTGCTGTGTTTATTGATCTTTTCATACTAAAAAATACGTATAAAGGTTTATTCTTTCTTTTTCTTGTCTTTCATATTCTAAGGCCCAAGTGAGAAGATAATTACAGTGTAAGAGAAACAAAGATGGTGCCATAGATGTACTGTGCCATAGGAATTACATTATTTGCTCTTGTGGGTGGCCCATTTAGCACTACTGCATAATGACCAGTACTGGATGCTTTGAAGGAAGTCATAATCACCTTGGAATATGTAATTACAGGAAGAAAAAAAAAAAAAAAAAAAAAAAAAAGTATGATTAGAAAGGTATATCTTTTCTAGTGCTGTCCCAATACTTGATGTTAAGCCATAATGCCAGTGATTCAGTGTGGATGAGCCTAATGGTATGAAAGGCAAAGCTCCAGCATATAGTAGGTAGGAAAATCAGAGCCTGTGCTAAATGATGCTGTGGGCTCTGAATTTGCCTTTACATTTATGTTAGCTTCTGTGGAGGTTTCAGGTAAACAATGTAGAGAAACCAAGCCATCCTCAGCTATGCTGAGATAACATGCAGAACATGGGATCATGTTCTAGAACATGCTAACCATGATCTGTGCCAAACTATGCATAGCCATGGCCGTAGGTGTTGTGGTTTAACCCGGCCGGAAGCTAAACACCACACAGCCGTTTGCTCACCCTCCCCTCTCCCTGTCTGGGATGAGGGAGAGAAATGAGAAAACTGAAGCCTGTGGGATGAGATAGAGACAGTTTATTAGGACAGAAAATATAATAATAATAATAATAATAATAGTAGTAGTAGTAGTAGTAATAATAATATGTACAAAACAAGTGATGCAAAATACAATTGCTCACCACCAGATGACTGATGCCCAGCCTACCCCCAAACAGCCGGCCCCCCCACCCCAGCTAGCCACCCCTATATACTGTTTAGCATGACGTCAGATGGTATGGAATATCCCTTTGGCCAGTTTGGGTCAGTTGTCTTGGGTCTGTCCCCCCCACAGCTCCTGCTGCACCCCCAGCCT